GGTTGGTGGAAGTGAGGGGATGGTGGAAGTGCAAGTGGGGGGTTGGTGGAAGTGAGGGGATGGTGGAAGTGCAAGTGGGGGGTTGGTGGAAGTGAGGGGATGGTTGAAGTGCAAGTGGGGGGTTGGTGGAAGTGAGGGGATGGTGGAAGTGCAAGTGGGGGATTGGTGGAAGTGAGGGGATGGTGGAAGTGCAAGTGGGGGGTTGGTGGAAGTGAGGGGATGGTTGAAGTGCTAGTGGGGGGTTGGTGGAAGTGAGGGGATGGTGGAAGTGCAAGTGGGGGGTTGGTGGAAGTGAGGGGATCTTGCAGGAAGCGAGAGAAGAATCAGGATAAGTTTTGGCCAGCAAGGGAGAGGGGGGGGAGGATGGAGGGGGACAGGGTGAAGAACGGAAGGGACGAGAGGGAACAGAGACGGAGATAAATTGAATGTGGGGAGAGAGAGTGAGGTTGACTACAAGGTGAGGGCGGAAATTGGAAGCAAAAGGCTTACATTGGAGGAAGGCGAGAGGAAGCAGGGACTGGTTAACCTGCACGCGAATGGTGAGAGGGAAGCGGGAGGGGGATGGGATGAACTGATGAAAGCTGGGGTGGTGAAGAAAAAAGGGGTTAGTAGTGGTGGCAGTTGAGTTGAGTGAGCCTGATGACATGTGCCAGAGCATGGTGGTGTGCAGGCATTGAATTTGTGTGCTAAAGGTGGGCGTGTGCATGTGTGTGAACATCCATGTGTGCGTGAGGTGAAAGGCGAGGCCAGTGGCAGGGGCAGCAGCACGTACATGTGCCATGAGGTTGCATGCCACGTTCCTCACACCCTCTGACAGCAACAGCGGCCATGGCGGCGCATCCTGCACACTGCCCTCCCAATGCATGCCTTGCATGTACACATAACCATCGCCACTCAACCCGCAGCCCTCCTCCTCCCCCTCCCACTCCGCATCTCCCCTTTCCCCCTCCACTGCTCCCCAGTGCAGCCAACCCTCCTGTGCCGCGCCTTCACAGCTGCTCCCCTCACTCGCCTCCCCCGCCTGCCCCAGCACCCACCACAGCAGCACTTCGCACAGCCACTGCTCTCTGCACATCACAGCACAGCAACACACAGAGCACAGCGGGGAAACGTGAACACGGGGGGCACGGGGAACGGATGGGGGAAGTAGAAGAGGGAATGTCGAGATGGGTGGGCGAGCAGGAACAAGGCGTGATTTGAAACAGGAGCGCAGAGAGCACGGGAAGGAGTGTGGGCGGGAGGGGCGGGAGGGGCGGCAGCAGCGTGCCTGGGCACGTTGAGCAGCGCGCGGTGGGTGGCCAGCACTGCGTGCAGCAGCGATGATGGCAGCAGAGGCACACAGTGACGCTGCTCACACGCCAAGTATGGCTGATGGGGGACACGGGAGGAGGCGAGGAGGGAGGGGCAGAAGAGCACAGGACAGGGGGAGAAAGGGGAAGACCGCCGGGGGGAGCAATGAGGTTAGGAATAGACGGCATGGGTCGTGTGGGCGACAGGAAGGAGCAAGGAAGGAAAGGTGATCGCATATATGGCAGGTGACAGGTGGCAGTGGTGGGTGGTGTGGCATGCGGTGTGGGAGCGGTGCAGTGCACTCACCATCTCCACGGCTGTGACGATGGCACACAGGCGCTGCACACGGCACGCACCTGATGCCACACCACACCCACCCATACGTGTGCCGCCATGCGCAATGCATATTCATCACACGCACCCGAATGTGCATGCACACAATGGGAAACAGGGAGGCGAGGGAAAGAGGGGAGAGATCATGAGTGCGAGTAACATGTGGACACAGGTGCTGGAATGGACGCCGAGTGGGAGGGAGCGAGGGCAGAGGAGAAGCAGGGGAGTTGAGGGAGCGTGCATGGTACAGGAGAGGAGAGGGCGTGCAGGGGCGGATCACCTGCATCGCGTGCAGCGGTCCACGTGGCAGCCAGCCAGTGCACGTCCGATACAGGCGCAGGGAAGCACACCCGTGAGCACCCACCCTCGCCTGCACGCCTGCACTTTTTCCCACCTCGTCTCCCTCCCTCGCCACCCCCCCCTTTCATATCAATCCCTCCTGCGGCTGTGCTCGGTCGTCCTGCCAGGCCCTCCCGCCCTCTCCCCCCTGTGCTGCAGTAGGCATGCGCCCAGAGGCTGGCAGCGCGCACTGCTGCTGGCACCCCGAAGTACACCGCACTCTTCATGGGGGGGAGAGGGAATGGAGGGGAGCGGAGGGGTAGGATGATGAGGGAGGCAGAGGCGAGGGAGAAGGGACGGAAGGAGGAGGGCATGGCATCAGGGGTGAAGGGAGGGTGAAGGACAGCACCATGTGTGAGCATGGATATGAGCAAGCACGGCCACTATATGCCCAGCCACGACTATGCATGCATGCCATGACACGCCCACAGCACAACCTCACACACAGCACCACAACCCCCAGAGGCACATGAGAGCGTGCGTGCAGCAGTACGCGGGCTTACCGCGAGCAGGCCGGGGATGTGCGGCGCGGAGAGGGCGGGGCGGGGCAGGGCGGGCAGCAGGTGCGGGAGGAGGTGCGCGAAGAGCATGGGGTCCCAGTGGATGCGCTGCACTGGCAGGGATGCCTCTCGGAACGATGACAGCAGCGCTGCGAAGTACGTGCTTGATTGCACCAGACTGGGGGGGAGGGGGAGGAGGGGAAGAATGGGGGGAGGGGGAGGAGGGGAAGAATGGGGGGAAGGAGGTTAGTAGGTGTGGGGTGGCAATGCATGCGTGCATGGTCCGTGCCCACCATCCCCTCCGCCATACATGGACCGTTCGATGGTCAGCAAGAGCCGCGCTTCCCCCTCCATCTCCGCTCTCCTCGCCTCGCCTGCTCCCTCTACCTGTTCTCCCCTCTCGCCAACCTCGCCTCCCTCCTCCCCCATCCGTGGGCGCCGTCCCCCACCATCGTTCCCCGCGCTGCGTTCTCTCCGCAACCTCCCCTCTCCCGCGCGTCGCCTCCTTCCGCGCCTCCCCCGTCGCCCATCTCTCGCCCCCGCACCACTCTGCGCCAAGTCGTGCCCCCCCCGTCCGCCGACACCACCACCACCACCATGCGCGGCGCGCCATCGGGGCGATCACCGGCGGGCGCCGCGCGCACGCGGCATGGCGGGTGCGCGCGAGCGGTGGATGGGCGCGGTCAGACAAGCGGGCGGGTGCGGCGCACGGCGGGCTGTCAATGCGTGCGCCGCGAGTAGGATAACCGCGCTAATCGCAGAGGGCGCGCAGACGGGCGGCAGGGAGGTGACGCACGTGGTGCCGCTGCGCTTAGCAAGACCAGTTGCGGCGTGAAGTGGCCACGCTCTCTGTTATGGGCCAGGATGCGGAAGGGCTACTAACTGTAACATTGGTCTGTATAACGCGGTATGTGTACACTACTAACCACTCAACCCTTATTTCATTACAAAAAGGGAAACCCTTGCAAGCAACTGCACTCATCTTAGCTGTCTTTCTGATACCCCAGCAAGCAAGGCCTGGGCTGATATACAGGTCCTCATGGAAATAGAAACAAGATGAATGCCAGTGCAAGCCATGAGCACTGGGCACGAGCATAGTATGTAAGAGGAGAGGGGAGGCACATGGCAGCCTCACATGCACGCCCAGACAACCAAGCAGTGCCGAGCTACTATGCACCTCCATGACCCAGCCCACATCCGCGTCCATCCCTCACAGCACCCTCGACTCGTAAGGCCACCATATCACATGCGCGAACTCATAGCCCACCGGCACATACCCCTGCACAGCCACCTCATCTATGCGCACTTGTCACAGCACCATGCACTGAGCTTCCACAGGGCTCGCCAATCCAACCCCGGCAGCAAGGCAGCGTGGCACTGCCACTGAGCATGGGGACCTGCATAATTCTCAGCGCCGCCATCCACCTCCAAACAAGTGCCTCAACCGCCCTCCTCCCTCTTCGCTCCCCGTGCTTCCCGCCTGCACACCCTCGTGCCCCGCCGCCCACGCCTCATGCACCCAGCGCAGGGATGACCCTGGCACACCATCGCCACCACCACCACCACTGCGCGACCCCTCGCCCCTGCCATGGCCCCCGAACGCCCCTCCATGCACGGCCTCCGCCTCATAGCTGGTGTGTGCCACGGGCGCTGCCCGCTTGCTGCGCTCAGACACAAAGAAGGACGTCCGGCTCTTCTCCCTCTGCCGCTTCTCCATCTCCCTCTCCTCCCTCCCCTTTCCGAACATGAATCCCCATGCAGTGCTTGCCCGTTCCCGCTCTCGCTTCTTGTCCTTGTCCTTCCCTGGCCATGTGCGATCAATGACAGACGACAGCCGTGAGGTTGGTGAAGGGTGTAGATGGGTGAGGGGGGGTAGGGCACCATGAGGGACACGTCTGGGATGCGTGGAAGTCCTTTGCCCTTGGAGGGCCTATGGCCGCGCTCTCCCTGCAGCTCCCGCAACAGCTGCTGCTTCTGCTGCTCAAACTGCTCCCTCTGTGATGTTGCTCGGGCCGGCGCTGCCTCCTCCTCCCTGTTATTGCTGCTGCTCGTACTGCCGTCTGTCTGCTTCTGCGGTGACAGCGGCGGCGGCGGCTGTTGTTTCTGCGGTGACTGCGGCGGCTGCTGCTGCTGCTGCTGCTGTGCTGCTTCTGCTGCTGCTCCTTCCTGCGCCGCTCGTTGTACTCTTCTCGGAACTGCTCCAGCTGCGCCTGCAGCTGCTCCAGCTGCTCTTCGCGCGCTGCGGAAGTCTGCTGCGCCTGCGCCGTGAGGTTATGAGGCACCTGCGCCTGCGCCTGCGCCTCTACCTGGGCGTGCGGCTGCTGCTGGGGCAAGGAAAGCTGCTCGTGCGCGGACACGTGCGCGTGGGCGTGATTGACAGGCGGTCGCGGGCTGGAGAGGGTAGAGGGGAGGCGCACTCACTGCAGCACGCGCTGCACGCACCCGAGTCTGGACCGCCGTTGCTGCTGATGGCGCCGCTGGTGGGGCTGGTGCTGCCCCCCCCGCTGAGCTTGTTCTTCTTCTTGCGCAATGCCATTGCTATTGCTTCCGCTGCTTTCGCCCCCGGAGAGCCCGCTGCCACCTCGCCCGCGCCCTGCACCACAGTAGTTGCATTCCATGACACAGAGGTGCACAACCACACAGCCAACGCACGGTCGCACAGGGAAGCACAGTTGCACAGGGGAGACATGAGGATAAACAAGAGCATCACGGGGCCTAGCGAATGCATAACTGGAGGAACGCATTAGAAGCGGAGCAAGTCACCACAAAAGGAACACAGCATGACCGTAGTGCGAGCATTGCTATGACAAGCACATGGCACTGCAGGCCCTGACACACAGCAAGAGTGGGGCAGTCCACGTGAGGCGCACCTGCTTGCTGCGCAGACTAGCTTCCCCGCTGCGCCCTTCACCCAGCCCTTGTTGCTGCTGCGGCTCACGATGGCGGTGGTGGCAGTGATGCCCATGCGCGTGCGAGCACGTCCTGTGCTCTTTATTACACCGCGAATTCCGCCTCCTGCCCCTGCCCGGACCCCGCCCGCACTGCATGCCCCTGCCCCTCTTTCGCCTGGGCGTGCTGCTGCACCTTTGCCAGCGCCTCTTCCAGGCTCTCGCCAAGCGCGCCCCCTTCCACGCCCCTCTCGCCTCCCTGCCGCTTCCCCGGAATCAGCTCCGCGCTGTGCGAGACCGCCGTGCCGCCAGCGGCGTCGCTAGCGGGCGACACGCGGGCAGCGTCCGCAGGCAGCAGCGACCCCCGGTTTCCGCGGAGCCACTGCGAGAGGGTGCCGCTGGCGCTGCCGCCGCTGGCGCTGCCGTGCACGAAGCTGAAGCTGCGCGAGCTCAGGCCCCCGGACCTGGATCGGCTGCCGTGGCTGCCCGACCGCTTCAGCTTCGCGCCGTCCGCCGCGGGCGATAGGCACGCGGAGACCGAAGAGGAGTGACAGGAGGCGAGCAACGAGGACGCGGGAGGCGGCGAGCGAGCCGTCGGAGTCGGGGGCGGGGGCGCTGGCGGCGGCGAGCGCGCGCACGCGGCTGGCGAGGTCGTCCACGTCCACTTGCGGCTCGCGCGGGCGCGATCGCGAGTGCGAGAAGGAGAGCGAGAAGCTCAGTGCGCGGGAGGAGCCCCCGCGCGAAACAGCGCCGTGAGGCGCAGCAACAGCAGCAGCAGCAGCAGCAGCAGGTTCAGGGGCGGTGTGTTGTAAATAATACTCTCCGGGCATGGACTTGGGCACGAGGTCCTCGTGCTCGTCGTCTGAATCCGCGCCCACATCCGGGTTATACGCCGCTGATTGCGCTCCACTCCCCGCTGCCGCCTCGCCACCGCGCTTACTGTCACCGTCACCATCGCCGTCGGCGTCGGCGGACTCCCCGAGGTGGAAGGTACCGGGGAGGGAGCAGATATCATCGTCCGCCATGTTGTTCACGAACTGCAGTTCCGCTTCCAGCATGTTCTTCGCGCGCTCCTTCTTCGCCTCCACCTCCTCGCGCAGCGCCTCTATCGCCGCGAGATCCTCCGCCGATTGGTACGAATCGCGCACCAGGAATGCTTTCGGCGCCATGGGGTACATGCGCAGCTCCTGCGAGCATCTTAGACCGCGCTCCGCGGCGCACATATCTCTCATTTGCGCCTCAAGCTTCCCCCGTTTGAAGCCGTCGGCGCGTGAGAGGAAGGAGGAGGTGGTGCGGCGGAGCGGGAATCGCGGGCGGGTGAGGAGAGTTTGATAGAGGTCGCTCATGGAACGAAGCAACTCGAAGCCGCGTGCGCGCATGAGATTTGGCGACTCGTACGCGATGAGTACGGCGCCGTACGAGTTGGAAGGCGTGAGCAGCGTAGTCTGGCGGCTGGACGGCTGAACGGCGTTGCTGCCGCCGTCCAACGAGAGCGGGTCGGGGAACTTGCAAAACAGCGCCATCACCCCGCCATGGCCCTGCGGGTATTGCGGGAATGCGTTCAGAATAGCGAGAGCAGGAGGGAGCGCAGAGAGCGAGGGCGACGAAAGCGGGGTGGAAAATAAAGAGGAGCGACGCGAATGTGCTTCTAGGCGAGGCAATCCACGGTGAACCGAGATGGAACCTGACATAGCTAGGGCATAGAATTCAAAACTTCTGGTGATTCGTACCTCGCACACACAAGTGCAGAGCTGTAGGAGGACAGGAACAGGTAAGGAACATTTGAGATACTCACCAGGGAGAATCGATGGACGTGAGACGGGACTTCTTTCATTGCTTCTAGCGCGGCTTGCTCATAGCTCTTCTGCTGGGAGTACGACGCGATAAGCTGACAACCCTTCACCAGCCCAGCAAAGAGCACCAGGGGCTGCTCCTTCGGCTCGTTCTGCTCTTTTCCCATTAGGTTAACAAATCTACTCTCAGATTGAGTCAGCTGGAATTCTGCGTGGATGCACGGCTGCTAGCCTTACACTGCGACGAGCTGCACAGAAGAAAGACATTCAATTCGCAGGCAATGTTCTCAAGCAAAAAGAAATCCGAGCCTACTAATGACTAGAGACTCCGTGTGTGATGTAAGGAAAGCAGAGTAGAGATGCATGACGTGACACCCCAAGGTCAACCCTGGAAAGTTCATACTATAATCGCAATGACGCGCGGAGGGCCCTGCCCCTGTGGCAAGCATTTGTTTCTTTCCGCCGCTCTGGCCGTGGCGCGGAGCTTTGGGGCAGGTCTAGCGCCCTGCAGCGGCACAGCTCTGAGGCTGGGTTGAGGCAGACCTGCGCTACCTTGTCTTGTACTCGGCGGCATGTCTAGCCGTGAGAGCCAAACCCAACCTCCCCACGGGCAACTGGGCAACGAGAACTGCCCCCCCACCTCAAACTCGCCAAACCTTTCCCGAAGCACCAGCGGGGCGGTACGGCAACCGCACTGGAGGTCAGATTGTAACACGTGGCATGAAAGCTTGAATCTCCCCCAACCAGTCATGTCAAACCTTCAACGGGGCAGATGGGCTTTTGAATTCCAGGCGAAAAAATAAAGGGTTGTCCTCTGACCGAGAAACGCAATAAATCGCAGAGATCACCAAAACATGTCATCTCGGAAGTGAGGAGCAGCCAGATTCAGCACACATGGTGAAACCGCATCAAATTGTGAAAACTGTAGTCTCACAACACCTGGTCAGGGAGGTGATGGTCAATTGCATTCGTTCAAACAGGCCTGCCCCGAGTGTGAGGGTGATTTGACCAATTGGCTGAAGCCGTAAACCCAATTCCTTGAAAGTTGTACACCGTGACAGCAGAGCAGAATGGATGAGGGAGGTGACCGATATACCCTCACACAATTTGAGCTTCCCACTCTTTGTAAAACAGAATGTACTAAATGTTCTGCCATGGTTACGCAAACCTTTTAACAAGCATCTGTATTGATCACAAAGCCTTGACCATGGGTAAAACACATTCGGCAGTTGCTGATCATACAAAGTAACCCTGGCAAGTTGGAACGGAATGCTAAAAAAGGTGCATAGGAAACAATCTCGGGAAGAAATGTATGATCTAAAAAGTCCACTACTTGATGTGTGTACCACTGAACCACGGTAACTGGATCCATGGCATCACACCACCAGAGACCACGTGAGAATAGGAATCACTACAAACAATCTAGCCCTGATGTAGTTGCATGTTGCGCCAACCTTAGAACGAACATGCTGCCTGTCTGGTGAATTAGTCAATCTTCGGCCCTCCGGAGTACAAGAGGGTGTCACGAGTGACGGGCATGTTGAAGAGGTAGCCAGTCTGGAACATGTTAGGGGCACCCGGTAGTATTGAGCAGAGGAGCACATATAACATCACCATTGTTAGCTGATTAAGCACAAGAACCCCATCGCAACCATAAGATTGTGAACATGCAGTTTCAAAAGACCAAGACATGTAGTTCCTGGAAACTGGATACGTGTGGTTCAAGAAGACTGACAACAAGTGGTTCCAGGGACTGAAAACGTGTGGCTCCAGGAAACTAAAAGCATGTGTTTCTAGCATACTAACAGCAGGTAGTTCCAAAATACTAACAGCAGACACCAAAAGTGCACAAATAATGAAGGGAGGGGGGAAATGACACTCACAGCGAGGACGAGTGAAACAATCAGCAGAATGACAGTTGCAACGAGGATGGCGGTTGAAAGGACATCACCAGGGGTCTCCAACCCCTGTGCCTGTGCGACCTGGGAGGCAGCCACCACACCACGCAGCTGACGAGCTCCGGGACGCTGATCTCCCGACAACACAACCTGCTGCAGCAACAGATGTGGCGCTGCCTGCGCTGAGGAGGCTCCCGCCAGCACCACTTCTGCAACTACTGATCCTGGAGGAAGATGAATGGTAAACGCATCAGGTAGGGTGAAACCAGGGCATGTGTAATGAAGATAAAATTACTATCATCAAAGGGCAGGAATAAGCACCAAAAGAAATGTGAAAGCCTGAAAAGATTCATGGAACTACAACATACCCTTGTTTGATAATCGAAGAGAAGACATGTGAGCAGAAATAGTAGCAAGGACGAAAGCCAAGCGTGTGGATGCAAACTGTGGGTCCTGTTTCTCCTGCAATAAGTTCCACATATACACAGTAAGTAGAAGAACAGATAGAAGTCTTTTGTGGTTGGAAAATGCAGTCATTGGCTCATGACAATAATTACAAATAACCTTTGAAGTACAAGGGGCAGATTCAAAAAAAAAAAAAAAAAAAAAAAAAAAAAAACGTTGCGGATCAGCTTTACCTGAAAACCAGCGAGAGATGCAACGAGGAGATGCGGATGAGCAGCCGAATCATAGCTGGCAGAGCGCATAGCCCTTACAACACATGCCAGGTTCGCCAGAAAGTTGGAATCAGCATCCTGCAACAAGCCAATCGAGTCCGCGGAAATGAGTAGCACTGGAACATGACAGAGGAGCACATAGATAGATCCTGGTACAAACTCCAGATCCGTGGTTTGATACTGAAGTGCCAAAAGTACTGACCTTAGTGGCATCAAGAGCAGTGTTTAAAACACGGCGCAGCTGCTGCGACGCCTCATCCCCCACTGATGCCGAAGACATCTGGCGGGAACAAGTGCGAGATGAGCATGCAGAGCAGGGTGGTGGCTGGCGTTGCCTTTGGGGATAAAAAACAGTGAAGCTACCAAAGGGTACAGTCAAATAATAAGACATTGTGTCGTGGAGTAAGAAAGTACCAGGAGCTCAAGGCAAACGTCGTCACATGGAGAGGCAGCAACAGCGCCCTCGACCGCGACGTCCAAATCGGCGTTATTCCAACCGCAGGTAGCAACATCCATCTTCAATCCTTCCAACCTGGCAGATCTGTAAAGAGCGATCATCTCTGTTTCAAGCTCCTCAGCCACTGCAACCGCCCCCGAGGTCGGTGCAAGCACGCGGGACTGTACCACTTGCACTGATCCAGTCGTGGCATTGCTGTAAACGGCTGCGCGGAGACATAAAATGGTCAGAGCAAGTTAGATTCAGAATCTGAGGCGAAAACAGAAACTGCTTGTGAGCCAGCACTTACAAGAATCAACTCCTGGAAGGGTGAGGAGAAAAACAGAGCGGGGACGATTGAAAGGATCCGGAATCAGCAACGAGTTCAACTGCGCAAGATAGAAACCGGTTACAAAGAGAACAGCATGTCAGACGTCGGTTGCTTGCATTTCACGACCGAGGAACGAGATATGCATCGGAAAAAAAAACTAGACATACCTGCGCAGAAATGCCAGCATCACTGTTAGAAGGAACAGACACACCAAGCAAAGCAGCGGTGGCGGCAACTGTTGCAGTCGTTGAAAGAGCCGCTACCTGGGGGACATCGGAAAATAACGTTTCAGCATCACAGATAGACAATTATGAGCTCAAAAAAAATGATCACGAACAAAGGGGCGCTGGTAGGGAAAAGTGGAATTAAGCGAACAGAATATTTCGCATAAGGCACAGGTCCATAAGCAAGAAGAATGGAGGTAAACAACTAGCGACAATGGTGATGAAGTAAATGGAAACACGCATTCTACCTCTGAAGATCCAGAGACGCGGTTAAAGTAAGAGCCTTGAGTTTGATCCAGGAACAGGACCGCTGGAGATGCAGCCACCTGCGTCACGCAGAACGAAAGTTCAGAACTCAGATCTAAAATACCACTATCTAATGACTTTCGTCATTAAAGTTTGAAAACAAAGGCTTCCCCTGGAGACGAAATCAGATATGTAGCAAACTAGGCGTCGTATGCTAGTGAGTGATCGCTTGCATGACGGAAAGCGAACTCCAGAATAGCGCGGAGAATATTATCGCAGTTTATCACAAGCGGGGTCACCAATATAGTACCTGCACGACTGCTGAGACGGCCACACAAACAAACGCGAGCAACCACCCTCTCATGGCTGCGATGCGAGAGAAACGACCCTGATGCGAAAATGATTCGAAAGGAGCGCCGCAGCCGTAATCGGCAACTAGAAGTGCTATCGGCTGTCCCTGGGAATGTCAAACAAGGAAATGGAGATTGAAGGCGGAGCAGCAGGTAAGGAGCAGAGCAGGGAAGAGCAGGGCAGACGAGGTGGGCAAGCGGACGGTGGCGATAGGCGGAAGGGGAACAGGGCCGGGCAGCAGAGCCCCTTGCCATGCCAGGCGATGTCAAGCTTTGCCCTTTCTGGGAGCGGCGCTGCCCAGCGGGCCAGCGCCGCGCATCCCAGGAGGTATGCTTTCCCATGACCCTTGGTGAAATTCCCGGTGGCAAGTTTTTCTGTAGTTCCTTGCTGTACAGTACTAGTAATTTGCAGTTTTAGGCTAATCTTACAAACTGTGAGTGAAGGCATACCAAGATAACATCCATAAACTGAAAACAAATGGCATGAGCAGATTCATGCTCCTAATGGCCTACTCATATCATATCACCTGAATACTTAAACCTCACAAGTGAGTGGGCATATTTACTGACCAACTAAGGAGTTCGCACCAGAACAAGAATGAACACCAACGCATCAACATTACCTTATTCATTCTGCACAATTGATTCCTATAGGGATTCGCCTCTACATGTGGTTGTCTCCTCCAAAATACCATAACAGCCAGGCCGTTCCACATAATAAATGGTTGCACTAATTATGTAACACGGTTCTAGGTGGATGCTTTTGGCGGATGAAACGCCTTCAACCCCTTGAAAATGTCTGGTGTGAGCCACTTCCACTTGCTCTCCGCCAGCTTGCCCTCACAAAAATGTGCACATGGAGATTGATTGGCATCCTCTTCAGGCGAACTGCAATATGCTGGCCAGAGAAGAGGGGTCTGTTTCTTCTCCAGGGAACTACCAGGCGGCTCAATGTCCTGCTGCTTTGGTGGGAACTTGCATTCAAATAGCTGATCGGGTGCCTTGACCTTGCTAGGATCCTCCATGGCACTTGCCGAGTATTTGACAAGGAGAATGGCCCAATACAGTCGCCTTCCCTCCCAGCTGCAGGCAATGCTGAAGCAAGGGAATGTGTGTGTGGAGGTAAACAAAACAAAAATCGCTTTCAGCATCCGCGCTGCAGTCACTGGAACGCCAAGGCGAGTTCTAAGCAGGGGAAGTGCAAAAAGCGGACAGAACTTGAGGTGAATGATACATAGTGCACCTGGTGAGGGAAAGAACTGCTGCAGCTGACCCACCTTGCAACCTTGTTTGCCTCCTTGTTGATCTTCCGTGCTTGCTGGTCATTGGCCCGAGCCCACTCAATGCGAGAGAAGAGGTCCGCAAAGTAGCGGGCCGTGGGCAGGAAGTGGCGGAAGGGGCAGAGCAGGGGACCAAAGAACTGATACAGCTCTGATGTTTGCTTGATCATCAGCTGCACACAGGCCCATCACATTGACAACGAAGACAAGGAGATATCACATTAGTGGTGGTGGGCTGTTGGACAGTGGGAAGGAGATGGCGTACGATGTGGAGGAAACAGGTGCAGGACAAGCACGATTAGGGAACAAAGAGGAAAATGAGAGGAGATTGCAAGTGGGAGAGCACGTACTTGGTCACTGGCCATGACTCCACATGTACGGCATGTGCCTGAACCTCCATCCACTACAAGCTCGTACTTGTACGACTGCAGCTGCGACCGATTGAATGCCCTGCCCTTCACTATCTTGTCCTTCCACAAACTGCACAGCAACCATGGAATGGCACAACAGGTGTGCACGAGACAATGCGGAAGAGTCATCAATTGAGCTATTTCTTGCATTGCTACCATAAACATACTTCTTCCGGCGAGTAGGAATCGAACATATTGTAAAACCAAGTTCAAGCGAACTATTGCTGACAAAAGACTGCTCACACCTCCACACACTGCCTATCTACCCTTCAGTTGCGAAGCACAGTGCAGCACTCTTACAGGTCTTTGTATTTTGCGGCGTGGAGTCGCATGATGCGGGCGTCCAGGAGGTCAGGCCGCACATCCGACATGCTGCAGTGAACAGGACAGCAATGGATACGCCATGGGTGAAGGAAGATGGACGGGGGTTGGTAGGCGGGAGTACATGGCATGAGTGTGTGAGGAAGATGGAGTGAGGGAGGACGCGATGGAGATTGAAACAAGGTAGGAGAGAGGTTTGGGGCAAGAGAATGCACAAATGAGTACCAGGAACTCCGAACACCTGGAAAGAGTGGAGTGTGGACGTGGGCACTTACCGATGCAGTCTAAATCTGGGACTGCCTCTCCACTGGTAGGGTCGTCTGATCTTGAAGTTTGTGGCAGCGCCTCTAAACACTGCCTTGTTCCTCTTCCGCTCCCACGGCATCTGATGGGCCAAGAGAGCCACATGAAAAGTCAAGGGTAGAAAAGAGGGAGGGGGGAAGGAGTTGGTGGGGGGGGGGGGGGGGGGGGGAGGGGGAGGAGGGGAGAGGAGGGGGGGAAAAGGTGGGGGATGGCTTAGCTGAGTAGGAGCACGGTTGGAGAGGCAAGGGGTCTATGAGGGAGCAGTGGTTGTGCAAATGAGTTGCAAGTGTGGGATAGACCTGACCTTGCCACTGTCTTCGCTGTAGTAGTGCATGGAGAGGTCCACCGGGTCGGGGTAGAGAATATCGACAAACCCTAGCGACCCCTGCGGGCTGAAGATGGGCAGCCCCGCCTTCTCATTGGCGCGTGACCCCGCCGTGCTGGCCGGCAAGTCACAGGTGTTGAGAAAGAACTCGGCGTTGAGCGAGGTGAGCCCGTACATGCGAATGGCCTCCTGGATCATCAGAATTGACACCACGAAGCGCCGCATGCGGTACCACTCGAACTCAAACCCGCCGTAGCGGAAGTAGATGACACCCTTCACTATGCGCACGTGCCCGGAGCACGACATGACCCCGCCGATCTTCGCCACTGCATTCAGCAAACCCGGCGCGATCATGCCTCGGGCTCCCAGCCCCTCCTTGATTCCCGGAATGCCCATCCACGGCTGCAGGTAGCGGTGCGCGAGGCATGCGAAGAGGCGCACGTCGCGCTGCTTGACGTCGAGCGCGGGGAAGCCCCGGAGGTCCGCCACGCACTCGTCTTCCGACTGCAGCTGCGGCACCAGCGACGCCGCAGACGCGTGAGGCGCGCACCTGGCCCGCGCGCGGACCGGACGGGCGGGGATTGGGGGTTGGAGGGAACGCAGGGGAGGGAGGAATAACGAAGTGGAGGCATGACGATGCGGTTCGTGCTGGTGGGTGCTGGCATGCAGTGAAATAGTGTGCGTGAAAAAAGGGGAGACCGTTGGAGGGACGAAGGGGAAACATGAAGCACTTTCGCGCCCTTTCAGAGCACACAGAATGTACGAACCTGGTGTCAAAATTATCGTCGGCCCAGGCGTCATCTATCAAGCTCGAACCGCTTCTGGTGGTTTTTATATCGGGTGGTGATGTTGCTGCAGGGTATTGCTCTCGGTCGGCGTACGCGGAATACGGACCCGCGGTGCTGTCCGCATAAGCAGACGTGGCGGAGGGGGAGCCGACCTCGTGAGATATGAACTCTCTCTCGTGGTCCAGGCGGAGGCGAGGCGACTCGTCGATCTGAAACGACGCGAAGGTTGAGTGGGAAGCTAGGTGAAACTTCCGGGCTGAGAAGGATGCAGGTGAGATGCAGGAAGGCAGACGGCTTTGACGGAGGACAATTAAGAGGGCACAACTCCGATCTCCTGTGTCGCGTGCTTCTTACGAGGCGGTACAATTAGGGAATCTCAAAGATCGACGGCGCAGGAACTCTCTGGCACTGCACCCACACACTACTACTCTGCACTCTATGAAGCCGCGTCCTACCCATTGCGCGAGCAGTCCTAAGGGACATTGACCCCGATCCTCCTAAAATCGTATCATGCGACATTACTAAAATCAACACTTATGAGCAACTAAAGCTCGGATTGGCCCGCTATGTAACGAGCAAATCATCCGCTTTTCTCAATGTACCCTCTTGTCGCTAATCTTTTGCTACTTCAACATAAGAACGCCATAATTTGTGATATGTGCACTCACCACGTCACTGAAGGACAAAGCGGCTTCCACCTGCGCTCCTGCTTGAATTACGCTGCTTCGGATCGCGGTAAACAGGATGAGAAGCTTAAGGACCGGAATGCTCAACCGTAGAATACAACTGCTGGCACGAGCGCCAGAGGAGGAGTAAGGACGGCGGTGAGGCGGGCCGGGAACTTGAATGCGTTCGCGCTTCCGAAGATGGCTCAGAGCCATCTGATCCGTCCACTAAATCAATTTTTAAGCTGTCTAAGGATCAGCATCAGCATCTTGTATGGCGAACTGACTCGTGGCACCTAAGAGGGTAGGATGGGAACTGTCAAATATTAGTCGTAGCGATCTGAATTGTGACGATGGCTGGCAACATAATGGGAGTACCGTTGTCAGGACCTAAATGTCTAATTGAAGTGTGGCCTCGCCAACAGGCAGGAACGCTACTCCCTGGTCGGTTGGTGGCGTGTATGTGGGGCAGGAAAAATGACTGCTTGCGGGAGATGTTCATGACACGATGCGCCACCTGGATGCAGATGTGGCGTCTTCCCTGAAGATGTTGAACTTCCATTTTCTGCCCAACTCATCCAGCTCAACGGATCACGATGAGGCTCACTTTGTGCTCAAACAAAGCGCTTGGGTGCGATGTTGTGGTATGTGGAACGGTTCTTTCACTTCACCCTGCCACTGCGTATTTCACGAACCGTGCAGCAACTCTCGTTCTTTCCCAAGTTTGTTCAATACGATTTGACGGTCCGAGTTGACCCATCCATACAGCGGTCAGTGGCCATCACATATGGCCCACGCCCATAGCTGGACGATGAGCTTCCAACGCCAGCACCCACCAGTTCGAACCCCAACTTCACTTACTATTTCTGTTCTGCAACCTTTCGTATTGAAACTAAGTTCACATTTACGACCACACTGGAGCCACTCACTTCATGTACAGTACCGCGTTACTTGGTCATTGCAAATACTCCTCCACCTCCACTCTCAGGTTCGAGGGACAAGTACAGTACATAGCCAGCCCACCAACCACCATGGGCGTGAGGGCCGACAGAGTTCTGTTCTGTTGCATCGCACTGGGGACGGTCGTTTCTGGGTTGTGTCCACAAATCGAGGCGCGGAGGTGTTGATTTGAGCGTGGGGTGTTGGTTGGAGCCTTACTTAAAACGGCCTCGCTTTAACATTCAACAAAAACAGCATAGAACTTCCTATACAACTTACCGAATGAAATGTAGCACAAAATCACCTTTATTGTTGTAATGCAAATATTCTGCCAGTAATTTGGATAAAATGCCGCATTCAGGGGCATAGAGAGCGCTTATGGTTGAGTAAACAAAGTCTTGAGTCAAACCGTATGTTTGCATGCAATGTTGCATATAAGTAGTATATACTTAACAACGTGCCACAATTATCTCACGTCCCTACACTGGGAATGTCCGATGATCCTATGGAAGAGTTACAAGTGCATTCGCTTGGGGGTTATGGACGCACTTACCCGCTATACAAACTGCTGATACAACCAAAGGATCAGTGGACAGGATAGAATGTGTTAAGCCTAAAGGGAGACAGTAAAGTCTCTGTAGTGACCTTGTTGAATAATAATTGAAAGAGAACAAGATAATTGAAAGATAGGAGTACAAGGAATTAAATAGCAACTAACTAGCCATGTACTCTGAGGGGTACATTCCCTTATTAACTGTATTACATAGCTACAGTAACCGCGACTATTGCTATCCTCGACAGTTACCATGTTGCAATCAGTTAACTGTCTCGCAGTTACCGGATCGTCAAGGGTCACGACCGTTGACTTCCTTGGACGGTTGACCTTCGGGTGACCCTCGATATTCCGCGTGCTCTATATGAGCTATTGCGGTACTGGTACAGTGGGAACAACTTCGGGAATGCCTTTATAACCTTTCGGTTATTCCAACACTCCCCTTCATTCCTGAAGGTGGGCCACGTGGGATTTCTTGGTGATCCCGCAGAGGTCGGCGCAGTGCTGGTACTGCTGACGTGGCAGTTTCTTCGTCAGGAAATCGGCTGCCATGTAACCGGTTGGGCAGTACGTCAGCTTGACTCTCCCCTTGTCGATTTCGTCCTTCACGAAGAAGTAGCGAAGGCCGATGTGCTTGGTGCGGTTGACGAAGCCGGGCTTGTTCGCGATCTTTATCGCGCTCTGATTGTCGCAGAGTAACGCGAAATGTCCGTTCATCGTCACTTTCGCCTCTTGCAGGAGCTCCATCAGGTACAGTCCTTCGCGAACAGCTGCGCTGGCTGCGATGAATTCTGCTTCAGCTGACGAAAGAGCGATGAGTTCCTGCTTTTGGGAATTCCAGGAGATGAGTCCTGCAGGTTGGAGTTTGAAAATGAATCCTGTGCGAGTGCGTCTGTTGTCAACATCTCCAGCGTGATCAGCATCTACGTAGCCATGGAGCTGCAGGGTAGCAGTGAGGTTAGCTTCGTAGGTGAGGCCGACGTCGGGAGTAGAGATGAAGTACTGTAGTGCCCGGCGCAGATCCAGTAGATTCTCCCCTTCAGGTCGCTTCAGGTACTGTGCGAGCTGGCTAGCGACGTAGGAGAGATCGGGCCGGCACGTGACGGCGGCAAACAGGAGGCAGCCCAGCTGCTGCTGATAGAGACGATGGTCGTCAGGAGAGAGTGGCGTGGTGTCGGGCTCGTGGTTAGGAGGAGGAGTGCGGTAGGGGGTGGTGAGGTTGTTGGGGGCGATGGCAAAGCGCTTTACGAGTGTTTCGGCGTACTTGGCGGCGGAGAGGTGAATGGAGGAGGCGGACTGAGTGACGTTGAGGCCGAGGAATTGAGTGACGTTATGGTTGACGGTCACTTCCAGCTTCTCCTTGATGTCAGCCTCGAATTGGTCGAGCAGCTCCGTGTCGTCTCCGGTATAGAGAAGGTCGTCGACGTAGGCGACGAGGAGGATGAACTTTCCGCATGACTCCCGCCTGTACATTCCGAGATCGTGCGGCAGTTGAGTGAAGCCGAGCTCAAGGAGGACGGAATGCAGGTACTGCTGCCACAGATGAGGAGCTTGCCTGATTCCGTAGAGGGACTTTTGGAGGAGGCACACGGCACCGTCGCTTTCTTCGAATGCGTGCGGCTGCTCGACGAAGATGATGGCATCGACGGGAGCGTACAGGAAAGCGCTTCCAACGTCGATTTGCCGGAGTGGTCGCTGTTTGACGGCGGCGATGCAGATGAGAATGCGCACCGAGGTGTGACGGCCGACTGGAGCGTAGGTGAGCGTGAAGTCCACCAGGTGAGTTTGCTCGAATCCCCGCACCACCCAGCGCGCCTTGTACTTGTCGATCGAGCCATCGGCGAGAGTTTTGATGCGGAAAACCCATTTGCCGCTGAGAATTTTTCTCCCCTTTGCCGATGACCGTGGGACCAGCTTCCAGGTGCCGCGCTTCTTCAGCGACGCGATTTCGGCGGCCATGGCTGCTCTCCATTTGTCACTGTCGGGACCAGACAGGGCTTGGCGGACAATGGTTGGTTCCTTGGGCGAGGTGTGGCGAACTGCAACGGCGAGGCCGAGAACCCGAAGACCGGTTTCGTTGGTCTTTTCGTAGTGGAGACGGTCGTAGTCGTGGAAGCTGGTAACTTCGACCACGTCGTCATCACTGTCGTTGCCGAGGCGAAGGGTGTCCTGCGACGTGTTGGGTTGCGGTAACTCGGCATCAGGCGATAGGCGTGCCTCGCTGTTGTAGTTGTGAGCTTCGCGTGTTATATCATCCGGATCGGGTTGGTGTACGGGCACGAAGGTTGGAGTTCCGAGGGGGACTGTAAGGGGGTTGCTTGGAGCGGAGTCCATTGGGGTGACAGCAAGTGCGTCTGCATCCTCGGCCAGGTCAGCTTCGTCGTGTGACGTGGCGAAGCTGCGGTGGCCCTCGAAGAGCCTCTCGGGCAGTTTGTCAGCTTCCTGGTGCTCCTTGAAAAGGGGCAGAGTCAGCTTCTCGTAGAAGATGCAGTCACGTGATTTCGTCACCTCGTGTGTCGCGTAGTCCAGCACGATCCACGCCTTGAATTCCTTTTCGATCCCGAGGTGGATGCCCCATCTTGCCCGGTCAGCAAATTTTCCCGTCCGCGCAGTGTGGGGTCTGTACTGTACCATGCACCCGAACACCCGAAGCAGGCGTGTATCTGCTTTTCTGCCCGTCCAAGCCCGGTAAGGAGAATTGTTGTCCTTGAGGCTTCGCGAGGACAGCAAGTTGTGCAGCCGAACAGCGTGATTCATCGCAAACGGCCAATATTTGGTTGGGATGGCCGACTGCTTCATCAGAGCCCTCATCCGTGTGGCAAGGCTCCTGTTTGTCCGTTCTGCTACGCCTTGCTGTTGGTGAGCGTAGGGTAGGGACACCAGGTGCTCGATCCCCTTCTGCTTGAAGAGCTCATTGAACTCGTCCGAAAAGAACTCCAGAGCTCCATCCGTTTGCCAGGCCTTGAGTTTTAACCCAGACTGTCGTTCAGCTCTCTTCATCCACGCAATAAAGCACTCAAAGGCCAGCGACCTGCAGTCGGTGTTAATGGCCCAGACGTAGCGCGTAGAAGCGTCGATGAAGGTGAGCGTATACTGCACCCCGTCGAGCCCTTGCTGACTGAGCACCATGAAGTCGCTGTAAACTTTATCCAACGGCTTGTAGCGTTCGTATCCCGGAGGTAGGTCGTGGAACGGCTTGTGATTGAGTGATGCAGTCGGGCAGACGGTGCACGGTGGATTGGGAGAATCCACGTTGAGGGAACCTTCTCGGGGAAGGAGGTGTGTGTCTTCGTCGAAGACTCCAGCCTTGAGCGAGTTTTTGAGTGTGGCGTGAGAAGGATGTCCGAGCTGCTGGTGCCATGTTTCTGGGTCAAGCAGCTTCGGCCTGATCTCCGGCGACAAGCAGGCATCGATCGGGCCAGTCCCGAGCGGGGAGTCCCGACATGGGGATCCTGTAGTAACTGTATTCGGCACCAATGACCTCAATTTCGTGGGGTCCTTGTACCGGCGGTTCCGGTTCCTCGGTAGGTTCAGGTAATTCCGCTGGTCCCCCCATGAATTCGTAGGTCTCTTCTTCCTCTGACTCTTCTGGCATTGGTGGTGGTGTGTCAGGGGCGTACTGATCCGGAAGAGGAGGACCTCCCCAGCAGGTGCCGCGAGTTGCCTAGTACAGGTTGACGATGGCGACTTCCGCGGGAGGAAGGCCGGCTGCTACGGCGTGCCC